TGCCACGCATAACCGTGTAGTCCATGTGCAGGAACTACCGTGCCGAGACATTTGGATGGACTCTGGGATTCACGATGTCTTCGAATACCTCTGGTCGTGCAAATACGTCAGGAACACTGTCTGCTGAAGTCAATAGTAGAGCCGGTCCTGGTACAGCTTGACGTTGGTTGCCATGCAGGATACCTGCTGAGTTCCAGCTGAGCATGCTGGCTTTCAAAGAAGAACTTCGTGCAAAAGCTGCTTGGTCTACGAGTCTACAATGGTCTGTCACAACCTACCATGGGATCTTCACCTAGACCTAACCCAGGTTGCCTTGGAATCCCAAGTCGATCGGGACACTTAGCTGGAAGCTGCACCATGGAACACAATTCGCGGCTGAATTCATAATTCGGAGCTTGGCTGCCAGGTGGGTTTTGGAGGTGTTAAGTCATTGTAAGCAGGGAGCTATGCAACTGCAGCTCGTCTGGCAGCCATAGGAAAGCTATATTGGAGCTCAACCAGAGCTTTTGCGTACGCTTTTCCATGGGTAGCAGCTAGCACAAAAAAGCGAGCAGAAACGTAATCCGCAACTCGGGCGCAATTATCCACAACTCGGGCGCAATTAAGCGCAACCGGGCGCAAATCCAGAATCTGCCCGAATTGCTGGTTGCACTCTGCTTTTTCGTGCGCTTTCCCAAAATATAGGCTGTTTGTTGGTTATATAGCTGGGTTTCGGAAGATTTATAGGCTTAGGGGCTTCATTACTGGTCCAGGGCATACGTGTATGGGGGTCCATATCGTGTTGTCGATGCATATACACCTGCACTCCCATGGCCGTGATTTCAGGCTAGAGATGTCCCGTCTTTTGTCTTGTGCTACTTTAGCAGAGGGTGTGCCTCAGCTGACAGCAAACGTTGGCACCATGGCCGGGAAGTTGGACATTGATGCCCAGATCGCTGTGCTCCGGCTGAGACAGTATATTTGCAGGTGTAGGATTTCGTGGTGGGTCTTGTGCAAGCTGAGAGGCAAACCCGCTATGGCATGAGTATCAACTCAGGCTTCACAAGCACGAATCAACGAGCTCCAGGCCCGCCTTGCCCAGCGGCAGGCGTCCAAGCCACCGGAGCCGTTGAGCCCCAGCCTGCGCGGCAGCTTGCATGCAATGTTAAATATGCACGCATGCATACTGCATGTACAAGTCCTTAGCATGCATCTCACTGCACTTATATGCTACCGTATCGTTCGATCACATGAGGTGCTCCTATCTTGGCTGAGTCCGATGGTACGCACGTGGCCGGTTCCTTCCCTGCGACACAAGTGTCTAGATCCCGAGAATCCATCGTTGACAAAGGGCAAGATGCCCAAACCCCGGATTGGTGCCTGCGTCGGAGACCCCTCCTCAAACGTGCAGGGTCATCACGTGCTTCTCGTGCGAGCAGGGTTTCGAAAAGATCCCGACGCAGCCGATCCAAGCCCACCCCGTTATCCCCAAATGGGTTGACTCAGATGCATCGGTCGGTTTCGGAGAGCGAGAAGGAGGAGGATCAAAGTGAGGGGCCCGCAGCCTCCACGGAAGCCAAGATCAAGGAGACGAAGGATAAGACGTGGTGGAAGAGCTTGGGCTTAATGGTGTTATTATACCATAAAAAACAACCGAGGAAAGCTTGGGCTTACTTCTGGAAAGGGGGGGGGGGTGGTGGGGTGGGGTCGGGGTGGTTTGGGAACGCCTTTGTTTCCACCCAACCCTCCTCTCTGTTTGTGGTTTGGGGGTTTGCTGTGATTGACCCACTCACCCATTCTATGCATGGACAACCAGGTGTTCAACTTAAGAGTACTCCACATGTGGTTTCAAGCTGGCATGGTTTAGTGCTGCATTGTTCGCATCTTGCCCATATAATTCGACACTTGCATGTGCATCCCAGGATGTACCGCTACTTCAGACCGAAAGCCAGCGGGAAAATCGTCGCCACCCCGGATGCAATGAATATGTGGAAGACTGATGATGGAAGTGCCTCGTTTGCCAACTACAGCCACTTTCACCGGGGGATATATTTTAAGACATGTTCTTGTTTCGATGACATGCAGGAAAGAAGCTGAGAGAGCTTTTGTTGAAGCACGGCACCTTCGATGCGGTCGAGCTGAAGATCAAACAATGGAGGACTAAGATGCGCCGATTGCAGAAGGAAGGTGGCTGGTACACAAAGCACTACCTCTTGACGGAGGGCAAATGGACTAAGTGTGGGCCTCAACAACTCAACCGAATAATCCTTCCGCTGCAACCACCCCTTCTTATATGCCCTCCCCAGCCCTGCCTCGCCCAACTTTGATCGCCACATCGTGGCCTCATGCGTCACGGTATTGTGCTTGTCGTGCAAGGGTCATTATCTGATGCAGCTAGTACGGCTAGCAGGGTGCCTGTGCATGCACTATAGTCAAGGAAGATGGTGGACAATGCCTGGAAGTGGGCGGACGAGCAGCCTGGTCGCAAGAGAACAAACCCGATCCACAAGGAAGAGGAAATCAAGTTGGTCTTGAAAGACACCTTCGTTTGGATGGAAGAGGAAGGAGACACGACTGGGGTCGAGGGTGCCATCGATCTGGAGGACCTTTGCCTCTTAGTGGATGTACATGGCATGCGCACCGTGCACACATTCATGAATGAGCACATATTCGTCCAACCCATGATAGACATAGGACCCAAATGGGGTGCTCCTGGAGGGGCGGGATGTCCCTGAGCTCGGGACCTCGTCCAATGCCTCCCTGGTGGACTCCGTGGCAAAGGAAGCGGGCCCTTCGCCTCAGGCAGAAGTGCGCGGAGCAGGATCCTTCAAGCCCCTGGTCTGCAACCCACGGGATCTAATCTATGCCAATCTATGCTTGGTATGGGGTATGTATCTGTTCATGATTTGAGGATCTCCTTTCCGACCATCCAGCAGAACAGCTCCGCCTTTGCCCTTTTGCCAGTGTTCATCGAGATTTGCGGTAGGAAGGTTGATGCTACAGAGACCGAGTTGGCCTGGGCCTTTGCTCATCCGTATACTTAAGCTTGGCTCAGCTTTCTTACAGAGCTCTGCATGTGCAATGTAAGGACAAGTTGTCTTCCAACGGGAACCCGAGAGCTGCGGCGAACCGTGGCCAAAATCTAGATCCTGTGAAGTCAAGCTGTCTCTTTAAGCTGGCCTGAATCACCTAGGCTGGCTACGGATCTCACTGCACACCTGAGCAAGGTAAAGACGCAGTACAGCAATTTGCAGAAGTTGCAAGAGGAGATTGCAACGTCAGTCAAGACGAGGTGTCTTATATTTATCAGTCAATAAAATCGAAGCCTTGAATATTATTACAACATTACCGAGTTGATCGTCTATGTGCCTTCGAGGCCCGAGATGCCAAAGATCCTACTGTCTGCATTTGCAGAGTGCACACGCCTGGATGTCGGGCTGAACAACTTGGCTGTGAGAGCCAGGCCGTAGTCTTAGAAATTATATGTCTAGTGTGGCTCATGATGGGTGGCCCTGCCTTGCCCAGGTCCATGAAGACTGCGCCTTCGCAAGCGGGAAGTGTGGTGTCAGCCAAGCTGCCGAAATCCCCGAAAAGCAAAGCCAAGCCGGCGAAGAAACCCAAAGCACCCAAGGTCTTGAAGCCTAGGGTTAAGGCAGCTAAGGCTAAGGGTGCTCTGAAAGACTGAAGTGGTAGATCTTTATTTTGAGTTTTGGGGCTCAGCTCTTTGCAGCATGACCTGCGAAGATGCTTCATGATGAGTGCCTCGGCACACTGTGTGTTGCAGTGGCCGCATGTCTTGTTGTGCATTTCGGGCCGAACATCGGGGTGCTCGATTGGATGTCAGACCTTTCTCGCTGGCAAAAAAAGAGCTTGTGCAAGTGAGTGCTTGCATGCTGCTGCATTGAGACGAGTAATGTCCACTCGTAACGGTCTGTCTTATATGTGCAGACAACTAGCTGGGAGGTGCGGGCGACGATTGCGATCCGGAAAACCCTGCTGCAGGACAAACCCAAAACCCTTAACCCTAAACCCTAAACCGGCGCACTCCTCAACTGTAGCTTCCAGCCGCTTGTGTGCCGGGCCTCCACCAGGACACGATGGCGATGACGAGAACCTTGCAGACGAGCTCTTGATCGGCTTCGAGGATGGGGTTACTTGGCTTTATGTACTCTTACAGGGTCTAGGGTGTAGGGCTTTCGGGGTTAGGGTTTAGGTTTCTTGCCATGGAGTCCATGTGGGACGTTCTCGGTTTTCTGGGGGATCCGCTTTTGGGGGTTGGAAAGGTAGGCTTAGGGCTTGCCACCGTGATAAAGCCAGGGGTGCTTTTTGGGTTAATCTAGGCTAGGTTAGGACCGTCCTGCCTTGTGCGGCCTCGCGGTATCTATGGTTGACTTATATACATACATACATACATACATACATACATACATGCACACATGCAAACATACACACATACACACACACATACATACATACATACAAACATACATACATACATACATACATATATATTATTTATATATGTATGTATACATATACATACATACACATACTGTGCGCTTGGGGTTTTTACCGGTTAGTGTCTACTGCCTTATATGGGAATGATGCTTCGGGCTTCGTTCTTCTTGTTTTATTTCGGGTCGGGTTCGGACACTTTGTGGTCACGACTGAATTATGACTCATGTCAGCCTAGGCCGACTCAGCAGCCCGTGTTGTCAGATTAGCGAAAGTGGCAAATGCCAAGTTGAAGGCGAATGGTCTCTCGGTGTATGGAAAGCTGCGACCTATAGGTTTACTATCTTTGCAGGTTTTACTATACGACCTTGTAGGTTTTGCCAGGACAAAGGTTTATATCTTTATAGGTGTTTTTGTACATATAATAAAACCCTGTAGGTTTTGCCTGTAGGTACCCCTAAAACTAAACCCTGAATATGCACTATAAGTGCCTACTGAGTCCTCCATCATTGCTCCTCGCACCCATTAAGATCTAGGCCTCGGCTTAGAGTTCATTGGCCAATGAGGAATTGTGGACCCTATGCTGCAAAGGATGGCGGCATGTGGCAACTCCCGAACAGACTCCCACATGTGTCAAAGGCTTCACAAGCTTATTGAATCGTCCACAAGGTCCCTGCCCGTTCCGATATCAACAACAGATGTACGTATCAGGGTGTCACGCAGAGGGCGGCCGTTGAGGACCAGGCTCGTGAAATATCCGATGCTGCTGCCTTCGGATTGGGCTACAAACATCTTCAGGATGGGAGGTCATTTCCTACTTGGTGGGCTGTCGTTGACTGATGTGGATTCCTTCGGAGACACCCTGGAAGTTTTTTGGGGGCGGTACAAGACTTTAGAGCCGGACTTTGTTGTTCCCGGGAACCCGAGATACAGTATACCTTATGCCCTACACGGGGATGAGGGGCGCGGGAAGGGCAAGAAACCGATCATGGTGCTTGGAATGCAGCCGCTCATTACAAGTCATGATATGTCAACATCCAATCTCGGAGGGTTTCTAGGCCGCAAGAATTCTAAATAAGGTTCGTTTTGCATCTGTAACACCAGTACATTTAACGACATACTTGACCTGAAACCGTTTATTTGTACCTGTCCCAGGCATACGCTGTGCACACGTCTCCTTCTGGCCGTGATTCCGTCTGTTCTCTATGTCAAAGAGGAGACGATGGATGGTGTGCTTCGGGCCATAGTCACGGACTTGTTACTGTTGCAGCAAGAGGGAATAAGTGCCACTCTGATCAATTATAAGTATCCAACTTGAAGGGCTTAAACCCAAGCTTACTTGCTAGCAAAACCATCGTTTAGACATACCCCTGTTGTATACAAGCTAGCTTAGCTAATCCTGCAAATTAAATTGCCGCACAGGTGAACTTCAAGGGCCGAAACCTCCATTTTCACTTCGCTTACACGGGAACTAAAGGAGATTGGCCTTTTTTGCGATCAGGCTTTAAATTGAATTGTGGATTCAATTGTCGCCGCAAGTGCCATTTGTGTGATATCTCAGAGCCTCGGAACCTTGTAGATTGGGAGGGACTGGTGGTTTTTTTAATTTGCTTATACATAGTGCAGACACCCTATATTTAAATCACCCCGGCCCCAGCTAGATTCCTGCAGGAATGGTGGGATGTCAAGGGTGAGATCAAGCACCTACCAGCAGATTATGTTCCGGACAATCCCTTCAAAGTTGGGTTGGCGCCCTCCCCACTACGATCTCTTTCCGACGAAGCAAACAAAATTCGTGTCGATGCCGCCCACACGTGGGCGATCAACGGAATTGGGAAGGACCTCTACTCAAGCACACTGGTTTTGGGGGCAAGAATGGGCTTCTTCGGGGCTGGATCCATGGATGAACGACTGAAAGTGGCTTATTCTCGGTTCGACAAATTCTGCAGAGCACAGAAGAAGTATACCAGTATCGATGCCTTCAACCACATGACATTGAAAACTTCGAAGATGCACCCTGCTTAAACAATAGTCATGTCACAAAGCCCAACGCCGAGCCCGAAGCTAGGTCAGTAATATCATCAATTGTATCACTTCCCGCCCCTCTACAGGTACACAACCTTTCCCTCTGGGTTGGGCAAAGGGCACGACTGTGCCATCGTTGGTGCCTGGCTCGAAGTGGAGCTGTGGAAGGTGGATGCAGCCTCGATCGAGACTTGCCATGGGTTGAGAAACGACGGATTTTGGGGTTGAGGGTCGTTCTTTGAAGTTACGAGGCACAGCTTCGGATTCCGGGCGCCTGGGCGTGCTTTGGGGCCTTATGCTCAATCGTTATCGGAGCAAACTTGGTTTTATAACTCCGCTGACAACTCCGAAAGATTAAGCATTTCATCCGCAAAACCAAATCCGAACTTCTATCCAAATCCCAAACCCGAAGCCTTATCCAACCTCAAACCCAAGCCCGAAGCTTTACTCTAATCCCATGCAAATCCCCAGCCCCAATGCTATCCACCCGCATATCCAAACCCACAGCTTTAATGCTAAATCCCAAACTCGAAAGCTAATCCACCCAAGATACCCAAACCCTTAATTCGATATCCCAAACCCGATCGATAGGCTTCGCCTTCCCAAGTCCGAGCCCGAACCTTTAATCCTCAATCCTCAACATCAAACCTGCCATGAAAGCCACCAAGCCGAAGCTCTCGATGATCCAAAAGATCCCGAAGGTGACAACCTCTCCCAAATCCAGGCCCGAAGCTTGAATCCTAGCTATATCCCATACCCGGAAACTTGTCTACCCTCAGATCCAATACCTATAATCTTTAAATTGAAAACCCAACCACGAAAGCATTATTATAGAAATTGTAGCTTGGGACCTGGAGAAGCTTTCTGTACGAAAGGAAGAGAAGTACCGTCCAATATTCGATGTGATGCGGTTTACTGTTGATGCTTCTGGAAAGTTCTGGCGCTGCATCTACGACCATGGAATGTGGATTCCTCGCTCTGCTGCTCATGCATGCTCCAAGAACGGATGGCTTGTGGCAGTGCCCTGGCTCTAATTCACGAAACTGATTCGGATGATTTGGTGTTATGCTGAGGACGGGTATGCTACGCTCTCAAGCCTTACAGCGAAATTGGGACACATGCTGTACCAAGTGCGGCCGAAACTGCACATGTACTGTCACATCGTGTGGCCCAGCATATGTTCAAAGCCATTTTGACTTTTCGGTATTTCGTATTGTCGGGGCTAGGGCTAGGGATCTCCACCTCAGAGTGAATACGCTCCCGGAGCAACTAAGGTTATTCGTGCAGCACCAACTCGAAACAACACCGACAGCCTCGCATGTGCTGTCCCCGACCAACTACATGACATGGGCCGACGAAGATTTCATCGGCCGAATTGCAAGATTGAGCAGAAGAGCTCACAAGCTTACGACTGCGAAGCGTACACTACAGCGAGCAAAGTGCTTGTACGTTAGACAGTGGAACCGCATCTGGGGCTCCGACTGAAAATGTGGCGATTCGTCGACCAGCCAGATGCAGTTGTAGGTTTGTGCATGGGCGAGCGGGGTTACTTTTTCGGAGTCGACATATGGCTTGTGCAATCGATTCTGTCCCACGGGGTACACAAAGGGGATATGTCTGCTTATTCAGCGGGGCGGTTTTGTACGTAAGATGCCATGACAGGCTTTCAATTCTATGGTGTTTGGGGGTAAGTTGGGATGTATAGCGAAGTTGAATAGCTCTATAGATGATCCGTAGCTAGCTAAAGCGTGCGCTTTTTTAAAAGCGTGCGCTTATTGAGATTGCGAGCGCTTATTATGTAAACGGGCGGAAATATTTCGTTACGCAAATTTGTGTATCAATAGGCTCTCTAGGTATGTATGTATATGTATGTATATGTATGTATGTATGTATGTATATGTATGTATGTATGTATGTATGTATGTATGTATGTATGTATGTATGTATATATAGAGAGTTATACACACATCATTCATACATATATGTATACACATGTAAGTGCATATGTATGTATTCACACATGCATTTCGATATTCGTGTAATCTAAACACACAGAGAACATTCATATGTATATATGTATAACAGATAGGTAGACAGACACGCAGATACGCAGATAGACGGATAACAAAATATGTAGGCACATAGATAGATAGATGGATAGATAGATAGATAGATAGAACAACAGGTAGATAGATAGGTAGACAGATGGACAGACATGCGGATAGACAGATAGATTTTCAAAGTATCTTAGTATGAGCAAAAATACAAGTGCAAAATGAATTACTTGTGTGTGTGTGTGTGTTAATGTACTATGTATACTGTAAGTAGATGTGGACGTGATGTGCCCAACGATTCGTGTACACAAGTGTATACATATGTGCAACTATTACTATGCATGTATGTGACTGTGTGTAGGCAGGTACGTGTACCATTTATCTGCATATGTAAATATGTAAGTATGATTCTGTGCTTATGTGTATATATATATATAGATTTATTTATTTATTTCTATGAATGTACGCATATGTACATGTATTTATATACACTGCAACACATCGATACACAGAAGCATTGATAGGCAGGGCAGGCTCCCGCCAGATGAAGGCTTAGGTTCCGACAGCGTCCAGAGTACCTGAGACGAGCAGAAGGAGGTTTTGGGGAAAAATCTGGGAGAGCCCTACTTGCTTTTCGCGGAGTAACATAGCCCCAAGACTCCAAATAGCCCAAAGTAGGTACCATTTATAGACTCTAGACCCCAAAGTAGGTACTATTTGTATACTTGGAGTCTTAGGGTAGGGATTCCAACCCTGCTGTATATGTCTGCCTGTCTGTCTGTCCGTCGGCGTGCCTGCCTGCCTGCCTGTCTCTGTCTAACTTGCAACGCGCTTCCGGGATCTGCTTCATGCTTTGTGACCTCTGAGCCCGTGCCCTGCCACCGAATTCGGCACCAAGCGCAAAACCAGCAAACCGCGACATACTCTGGATACCGTAACACAAAGTACAAGCACAAGGTCCTACATTCAAGATGCAAAGCTTCCAGCATTTCAATCATGATCCCGCGCTGCAGAATGTAAACACGAAATGTCAACAGTATACGCATTGGAAAATCCGTGTGTCTGACTTATGGGGAATTGCATTCAAATTACCAGAATAGGGATCTACAGTAAAAACCAAAGCCAAACCCTGTGATAGAAATTTTCTGCCCTAAACCCTAAACCCTAAACATTCTGCCCTAAAACCCTAAACATTCTGCCCTAAACCCCAAACCCTATAATGCCTCCTCGGGCATCGCTGCAGGACTGTCGGCTGCGCTGTTGGTGCAACGCTCAACGATCTGTGGCGTCGGGCTCGGGCGGCTGAACCAGTAATACCAACATAATATAATGACAATAATAACGATAGCAACATTGATAATAGCAGTTCAAAAGTAATAACAATGATGACAGAAATAGTTCAAATAACATTTCCAATGCGGTTTGCAATAATGCAGTGATAACACAAATACATGTAAAAAAGGACAACAATAATTGAAAAGTCAAGATGAAGCAGCCGGGTTCGTGTTCAAGATCCAGCAGAAGACGTTTTTGAACGTCGGGGTCTTGCGTGCCTGTACTCTAGGACGTTGGAGCCGGGCAGTCATGTTTCGGATGAAGTTTTGCTCAGCGCTGCAAGGCCCAGATGCTCAAGTGGCGAGGTCAGAAGTTACGGGCCAGGTCTGGCTTTGAGGCGCTTCGTCTGCGAATAGACCAGTACAGCCGTCCGAAAACTTGCAAAAACTGTGGTGAAACTTGCGCAGGATACACTATGCAAAGCCTGACAACCCAACCCTAAACCGAAGCTTACGAACAGAGTCAACGCTAGCCCGAAGAGCCTGTAGGTCGTAGGGGGCATTCTGCGAAAGCCCGGTAACCTCGGAAGCTGTGTCGGGAGGCTCTTTCAAAATCAGGTCTTGTGGCATACTCCAAGGGGCTGTATGCAGAGTAGCCAGGGTTGAGGAGAGGTAACTAGACCCGCGTATTCGAGTCTCACGAGAACCCGGAAACAAGCTCTGAATGCCAATGTTGAAAACCGTGCCAAAACGAGTAACCCTAACCCTAAACCCTGGACCCTAAACTGCTTAAGACCTCAACCGAAAGCCCGGCAGCATGGACACTCAGTCCTTGGTTTTCGCTGCGAGGCCATCTTTGGGCCGGCAGAACTGCGGAAGTGAAAGCGATGGAAAGTTCCTTCATTACGCCCTTGCCACCCAGTCCTAGGTCGTACTCGCTTTGTTTGTTTAGGCCCAAGGAACGGCTTCACCAAAGCTGTCTTCCATGCTAAGGCTTGGGGATTGTGACTCTGCATGCATAAGTTATTCTCGGGCTCAGTATCAAGTACATAAACATGAAACTCCCCCAAACCCTAAACCCTAAACCTAAATCCTAAACCTTATACACCCTAGGATTATCACAAAAAAACGCCCTACCAGGGCCGGCTCGGCTTCAGCACGACCTTGGTGCTGTCTCCTCCTGCCATTGGATCCCCCCAGGTCACCTCAGCTGCTGCTGAACGTCCTCTCTGAGTCTCTAGATTTCGCGACAAGGGCAGGGGTCATACTTGGGGGGTGCATGGGTAGTTCTAGATGGGGTTATAAGTAGGGTACCTATAATCTATAACCCAGAAAACAGGGGACTTTGAACCTCACTTATAACTACCCTAAACCCTAAACCTCAAATAACCCCACATATAACTACCCATGAACCTCCAAGTAGAGCCCGACTAGATTGTTGGCATTTGCTCCAACAGCCCATCAACCCCAGGCCGTGGATCCTGAACTCTAAACCCCGAAAGCCACTTCGCAGACATCAAACTCTGGGTTTCGAGTAAGTGATATACGGAAACTTTCACGTCTTGTCTTGCTAGAACTGCTAGCCTAGGGTCTAGGGTGGTCCGACAGCCTAGCAGGAATCAATATTGAATTGAAGCAAACTCAATAAACATCTCGAACCCCCCTATGGAATCGCTGTGTCACTGTGTAAACACACTATCACACCCTAACTAAGTAAAACAAACTGTAGAAAAACCCTACAAATCCTTCAATCGAAGCTTCCTACACCCTAAACCCTGAACCTTGCGGCTCCGAGCGGCCAGCTGCCCATCCCCGCGCAGTGCAGCGAAGGCGGCCACCGAGCCAAGGAGATTTTGGACGGCCGAAAGCTCCTGCGGAGGTGGCGTAGAGTCTAGAGTTTAGGATTATATGTTTTGGGGCCTTCGTGATCACAGCGAGAAGGCTAGCATGAGCAAAAAGAGCATTTTGCGCGACGCCGCAGAAAGCAGTGTGCAAAGGTTTCACGGGTCAAGGGCTTTACGGATCAAGCGAATTTCCGGATATAGACTTATCATGAGTTGTCTAGGGTTGGGTGTGAGCTTCGAGAAGGGGTGGCTACGGAAAGGCTGAAAACCTAAGGTTCCGAAGAAACCCAGAAAACCCTAACCGAAATGGACCTTGCCCGGCGAACTTGGCGAAAATCTGCTCTTTTCAACCCCAACCCCAACATCCGAAACCTTAGGCGACTCACATCTTACAGCCCACTGGCCAAAAGCCTTCGAACTAAGATGCAAAAAAGCCCAACAATAAAGGGCAAGCCTCGCCTACAATTTCTTACAGCATGTACCGATCTTGTTTTGGCAAACGATAACCCGTGCAGGAAACCCAGAAGATGGCTCTGAAACCTTCACTGGAGTGAGAACAATCAGAATATTTTGGCTGGTGCTTGGAGTCCTTCATACCTAAACTCTAAACCCCTAAACCCCTCACCTCTAAACCCTAAACCCTGAACCCAAAACCCTAAACCCAGTACGTAATAGTTCGAGTAGGGACTCGAAGGGGGGGGACGAGTACATCCTTCTTTTTCTGATCCACAGAGTGCACCCTATAACATCTCCAGACACTGAAGGGCTTTGGGTGTAGGGGGTACGGTTGATGATATGAATCCTGCATTACCCATAATAATACAGAATGTGCCATAGATTCCCAAAGCTTAGGGTCCTTAAGGTGATGCTAAGGATTTGTATCATCAACAGTAGGGCTCGCGCTACACTTTTGGCTCTGGTCATGTTTGCGAGCTTCGGGGATACCTTGGGTACTGCCCCCATACAGTAACAGTCTATAATAGGGCCTAATAGGGTTACTATGAAGGATGGGTAGTTCTCTAAACCAGGGTCCCCTTTTAGGCCCCCAACATAGTACGGCACTAGTATAAAAAAGGACCCCAAAAGGGACCCTAATTTAGAGAACTACTCATGTGCAGATATTATGAGTATTACTCAACTGTCACGGAGCGGGGGGGCAGTATCCAAGGGATATCTTGGTTGCCGCTCCTCTTGCACGGCGCGGCTGTCACCCCCCTCCTTGGAATCGCCCCAGGTCACCACCTCTTCACCAGGTTCTGAACGTCCGCTGCACTAGCCTAGAACTTTAAACCCTAAAAACCCTAAATTATGGAGCCCATACCCTAAACCCAAACCCTAAACCCCCAAGTCCTAAAACCTAAATTATAGACCCTAACCCTAAACCCTACGCCCTACACCCCTAAACCATGAAGGACGAGGGTCCCTGAATCGACCAGTGAGCCCTAAACCCAAAACCCAAAACCCCTAACCCTAAACCCCTAAACCCCTAAACCCTAAACCCTAAACCCCAAACCCCAAACCCTAAACCGTAAGGCCTAAACAGGTCTTTAGGGGGTTACCGGCTTCGGGGCTCCGTGCGAAGCCCAAGAGTCTAGGATTGAGTGCTCTTCGTCCTCGAGGACTTAGTTTAGGGTTTAGAGCTTAGGGTTGAGGGGTTTAGGGTTCAGAGTTTAGGGTTTAGGAGTTTAGAGGTTAGGGTTTAGGGTTTAGAGTTTAGGGCTTAGAGTGTAGGGGTTTAGGGTTTAGGGTTCAGGTCTGGTGCAAAACTACTAAGGTTTGCCAGGCTTTGCTGTCATTTCAGGGTCTAGGGCTCGCCGTCCTTTCGCCCGAATCAAAAAAACTCCCCTGCCTTACCGTCGCTCCGGAGGGCAGCGAAAGCACCCTGGGTTGCCGCAATGTGCTCCACACTGTGGAGCTGGCCTAGCAGAGAAGCCCAAAGGCTCCACGTACTTTCATAGTAGATACTTCAGCCTTTAAGGAATTCCTCTATAGGTACTTTAAGGCCTAAGTATATACTTTATGGGCACATGGAGCCTCAGGGAAGGCAGATAAGGACACACAGCTTTGCTAATTAAGGGAGAGTTGAAAGCCAGAAGCTCCCAGCCTCGTCGTTGCAAGAGCTTGGGCCAAGAGGGCCTTCCAAAAATCGAACCCCCAAAGAAACTGCTCCCCCAAAGCCTTATTAGTTCAGGGGTTTAGGGGTTTAGGGTTTAGGGTTTAGGGTATTATATGCTGCAACTGGCACCGAGCGAGCCCCGGAGCGGGCCCCAAACTGTCACAAAGATCCAAACGCAAACCCCTAAACCCGAGTTGTTTGCGGTGGATCCTTCAACTTTTCCAGGTTCCAACAAACCATGACTTAGGCTTTAGATAGCAGGGCATCGTAGCTTCAAGCATTCGAGTAGACCGCGACCTCCGATGTCGACCATCTCGAGATGCTGGAGAACTTCAATTTTGAGTCTTACTCTGACCATGAGACCCAAGAGAGTGTCGAGTTTAGGGTTTAGGGTTTTGAGGCTTAGCGCGGCAACCAAGCCCTGAACCCTACTTGCCCTTAGCATCAAAATAGCCCAAAATCCTTCTATCATCGTCCAAAAGCCTTAAAATATGAGTCCTTTGAGGGTAAGGGTTGGAGGTTCATCATAAGTGGGGGTACAAGCAGGGTAACTATACTTATAACCCATATTGAGGGACTTATAACCCCACTTATTATCACTACCCAGTACACCCAAACCCGCGGCCCTAAATGAACAGCGGTGCAAGGACGTTACAAGGCCTTGGGCTGATGCAGAGTTTCCCCCATGATCCGGATGGCCCCACGTCACCACCTGCCAGGCGGCCGTCCGAAGGGGGTCCACAGCTACTTGGAGGTTCATGCCCAAAGAACCCAATACCCTTAAACAAGGAAAAGAGCTAAAAAATCATCATATGAAGGCCTCTATTATTTAAGGTATATTCCTTAATTAAGGGGTATTGGGTTCTCTGGGTGGGTAGTTATAAGTGGGGTTATAAGTCCCCGAATTATTGGTTATAGGTATAGTTACCCTGCTTATAGCTACCCATGAACCTCCAAGTACTTGGCTTAGGGGGTTTAGGGTTTAGGGTTGAAGTTCCCCAAAAGTATAAAATGGGGATGATCTTTGAGGGGCCAGCGCTCAAACATGTAGTACACAAGACCTCAACAACCCAAAGGACCCGGCTCTGCCCTGCCGGCCCCTGAATAATTACCAATTTGGTTCATGATTTGCATCCTGCAATACCCATAATAAGGAATATACCAAAATTTCCCATAGTCTAGGGTCCTTGAGGTAATGCAGGGTTTTTATCATCAACCGTATTGCTCCATTGAATTGCTCATCCTTCTTCTGCCTGGCTTTCTCAGTTGGGAGAGCATGTTCAGGATGCCAGTACTGCCCGGAATTGCGCCGCCTGTTTCCGGCAGGCTCTGTGGTCAGTTCTTTGATGGAGGTGGTAGCAGACTCCCCCAAGTGGTGGGTGCAAAAGCTTGGCCAGGTTGAGAGGGCCTCCACTGTCCCACGGGTCTCTCTCGCGTGTTTGCTGTCAGACATGCGGACAAGGCTTCGTACTTCGCACTTACATGCACACATGGCCAGAGCCCACCTGTCTCCTGCGTGTTTGTGTCGTGCCTGAAATGGTACGGCAGTGTTCGCCAGTGCCAACAACATCTGAAGCGCTCAGCTCAGTGTCTTCTTCGTGCCCCCCCATTTATTTCCTCCGCTATCCTACGAGCAAATTCTTACAGTTGAGGCAGAGGAAACACAGGCGCAGAAGAGACTCTCCAAAGTTTCCGGGCTTGCGGGCCGCCTTCCAAGGCACCTGTCACCTGTGGACCCAGAATGCCCACAGCCGCCGAACGCGCTACCCTCCTTTCAGACTTGTGTCCTGTGTACCGACCCTCAGACAGATGCTGTGCTCGCTTGGATTTCTGAATACGTAGAGGGCCATCCAGGAGGTTCTGGCAGTGCCGCCCAAAGCAGTTTCACCAGAATTCTTTGCACGATTCTTGGGACGCGCCCTAACGAGGGCCCGACAGTCCACCACAGAACAGAACAGAATATTGCTCATCAGGGCTCATCTAACCCTGACACAACCAACATCCCCAAAACCACATTCTGGCTTTTCTGGAATATCATACCTAATAGATGACAAAGTATAACATGCCCGAGACCCGATTCTAGCTGTTGTGACAGCTCCCCGCTCTAACTCTTCAAGCCCCTCTGGCGACTCTCAAATGCACCCAACATCCCAACACCCTCTATTTCTTTACATGATAAAACCAACAGAACCCTTTTCGAAATCTCCATTCCATATAATTTCGCCACTCTAAATCCTAAACCCTAAACCCCTAAAGCCCCAAATCTTAAGGCCCCTGTGGCACCTGGCCATTTGTCCGGACGGCCGCGAAGGCGCGAGCCGAGGCAAAAATCTTCCCTGGAGGGGAAACTAGAAAGCAACAGCCACGGTGTAGGGTTTAGGGTGTAGGGTTTAGGGTTCAGGGTGTAGGGTTTAGGGTGTAGGGTTTAGGGTTCAGGAGCGACAATACTTGTAGCAGTAGTATTGATAGTACTGACTCTAGTAACAATGGTAGTACGACGAGTAACAACCAGAACACTATTAATAACGGTACCAATAATAGTAGTACTGATAATCGTAGCAGTAATACAAGCTAATATTGACAGCAATCATATCCATGATAGTAGTACTTTTCGCGGCGACAAGAGTAAGAAGCAGGCAATACACTAAGAACAAGGGGAATCAGAATCAGAGAAGGAATGCGAACGATGATGGCTGTGATAAAAACAAACCGCAAGAACAACACTAATAGCAACATCAGCAGAATGATAGCCGGTGCTAATGAGAAAAACACAATTCGCAGGATATGCCCAAGGTTGTCTTGAGATGTAGAAGCCTTACCTGAGAAGGAGCTTCTTGCAACTGCCGACCTGAATGGGAGTGCGAATCCTCGGGCCCCGAAGCAAAAGGGTTTTGCTTTGTCGGAGGTGGAAAAACCTAAACCCTCTAAGGGTTTAGGGTCTAGGGGTTTAGGGTTTAGGGGTTTAGGGTTTAGGGTTTAGGGGCTTATAGGGTTTAGGGCTTAAGGCCCAAACCTTAAACCCCGAACCAAACCCTACATTCTACACCCCAAACCCGGACTCATCCTTGCACGAAGCAAAGCTGCGCACGGATGTCAGCGAGGACCGCACTGGTCCGCTGTCGCCGCCGAGCCTTTAGCTTATGGCAGCTTTTTGGGGGTTCGGGGGCTCGGGGGTTAGGGTTTTTGTCCGGGCGCTTGGGGATTACAGGGCTTTGGGATTCTAGGCAGTTCCTTGCCGCCCTTTCGGTGTCTCTTGGCAGAATCTTCGTCAGTCTACGGATCCGCATGCGGCTGCAGTTCGTGCTGAAGGGTGCCAGGCAATGGGCGTTCAACCCCGCACCTGTCACCTACAACCCTAAACCTTAAAACTTAAACCATAAGCCCCAAACATCAAAGCATGAATCATAAACCACAAACCCTAAACCCCAAACCACAGACCAACAGTGCCAGCTGCGAAATGTGGTCTCATCACAAACACCTCATTTAGGGTTCCTTTTGAGGGTGCTAGAAGGACAACACAGGGATTGGGTTTTAGGTTTTCTAAATTTGGGGTTGAGGTTGTGTGGTTCTAGGGCCTTGAAGCCCGGAGCCTAACCCGCTTTTCAGGGCCCCCAGAGACGAATCGACGTCATCTGTAGCACTGCCTACGTGCCGAAATTGAATGCACTCCAAGCACGGAGAAAGAGCTCCGAACCGCAGTAAAAGAAGGGCCTTGAGCCGCCAAAATGGGGTTGAATGGGGTTTTGAAGACATCATCACCACACAAATTCCCAAACGCAAACCCAACATTGCTGTCTGCGGAACCGTTGACGGCCCCAGGTCACCACCGATCCATCCTTGCTGTCACTTATAGTCTCAGTTGCAACTCTTTTTCTTGGCTAAGCCGTGTTGGGTTCTGTCTCATTCATGCAGGAATGTATCCCTTTATGGATCCCAATTTGAAGTGCATATCTCTGTTAAGGCCCCCTGTAATTAAGGACCACATGGCAATGGGTTCTAGCATCCTAGCCATAGTAGGCATTCGAGATGTAACTTTGGGAGCAGCTCACAAGTGTAGTTCTCAAAACTAGGGTCCCGTTTTGGGTCCAGGGTGCCGTAGCATTTTGGGGACCTGTAAAACCGGACCCAAGTATATAGAGAAAAAAGAGCTAGCCCACAGGTTCTTGCAGCATAGGATCTAGGGGTTTGGGCTTAGGGCTTTTAGGGTTTAGGGCTTAGGGTTTAGGGCTTTGGGGGCTTTTAGGGCTTTTAGGGTTTAGGGCTTTGGGAGCTTGTTGTGGTCCCAGGACACTGGAACAAAAACTCCGACACCCTATTAGGCCCTAAGATCCAAAGATCCTAAACCCTCGAAACCCTGCTAAATGCTGTAAACCCTGAGAACCCGATATGCCCTGCACCCTCAAGGCCATCTAAAGCCCAACCCCCAGCACCCCAAGCACCCTCTGCTTGGAGGTTCCTGGGTAGTGATAAAATGGTGTTATACGTAGGGTAACTATGCTGAAAACCCATATTGTGACTTATATCCCCACTTATAACTACCCTAAACCCTAAACCCTGAACCCCTTCTAACCCCACTTATAACTGCCCTAAACTTTGGCCCTAAACCCTAAACCCTGAACCGCCGTATAACTACCCATGAACCTCCAAGTGTTCGGCCGAGCATCGGCCCGGCGAGCAGCAAAAGCTGCCTGGGCTGCAACGATCCTCGGTGTGGGAAATTGTGCTTCCCGGTTTAGGATTTAGGGGTTTAGGGGTTTAGGGTTTCGGGGTAATTTTGCTACCCGGTTTAGGGTTTAGGGGCTTAGGCTTTGGGGGTAATTTTGCTTCCCGGTTTAGGGTTTAAGGGTTAGGCCCCTAAACACCCTGCAAACCCTGATCGCGGGTTCGGTAGACGGATGTGGATCTTCGGGTTGAGGTTCACGGTGTAGAGTTCAGCTTCTGGTGTTCAGTCTTCTTTGGCTTAGGATGCCGCAGTTCAGGATTTTGCATAGGCCCAACAACCTCTTGAATGGTAGCCTACCCTAAACCCTAAACCCTGCTCTAACCTGAAGAGATGGGCTTGGATTTTCAGGGCTCTAGGCTTTAGGGTTCAGCGTTTGGAATCTCCTGGTTATAGAGTCGAGACCTGGGGCATGCAGTTTTGGGTTTAGGGTTTAGACTTGGGGTTTAGGGTTTAGAGGGCTTGTTTTAAGTGTAGTAGCACCTCTTTCGGGTTTAGGGTTTAGGGGTTTAGGTATGTGGTGTTGGGTCCGTTCCGAAACCGTCAAACCGCAACCCTTAACCGAACCCAAAAGCCTTCCCTGTGGGATTGTATGGCCTGCAAGGATGCACGTGCCTGAATGCCTGAACACCCTAATATAGGGGCCTTAATAATTAGAACAGGGTCTTGGGGCATATTCTACTGTAATTATAATCTGGAGCCCCCCAAAATAGTAGAGGTAATTGTTTAGGCCCCTACATAAAGCACCAGCACCCTAAACCCAGGACGCCTGGACCCGAAATCCTGATATAAGATAAAACGGCACCATTACAGAACTCTTTATAAGTGTTTATATCACTACTCGTGTAGAAAGTTGATATATATATATATATACATATACATATACATATATATATACACATATATATATATAGGCATGTTTACATACTCACACCGTTTAGAGCATCCGAGAGATGTAGCTAAGCCCACATCCTTTCTGGGTGCTCGATCTTCGGTATCCGTTAGACGGGCCTGGGCCTGGGTTTACACCAAGAATGCCTTCTAGCATAAATCACTTGCATGTTGTACGCCCCCATGTAAAGCAACTTCAAGAACATGTGCATATACATATGCCTATACATATCCGTGTGTGTATAGATAGATAGCTAGATAGATAGATAGACACTGTATGCCTGCGGGAGAATACACTGCATGTCTGTATGTATGCATGGATGGATGGATGCATGCATGCATGCATGCATGCATGCATGCATGCATGCATGCATGCATGCATGCATGTGTGTATGTATAAAAACATATATGTACATGCATGCATGCATGTATGCATACATACATGCATACATACATGCATACATACATACATACATACATACATACATTACTAATACATACATACATACATACATACATACATACATACATACATACATACATACTAATACATACTAATAC